ATTTCTTTTGCATATTTTTTTGCAACATCAACAATATTGGCATTTGAAGCGCTGCATTTATTCTTGGTCCATGTTTGGTCAATATTGTTTCTATCCAAAGAAGATAAAAATGTATGTGTCTAGTAAATTCCAGTTCTGATGCTATGAATTTCAATACTTTCTCGATATAAATATCAGATAAATTTGTCACGGTTAAATCAACTGAAATAAAAAATATAATAAATATATATATATATTGAATGGTAAATGACATATTAATAAATTATTAATAACTTACTATCTGAACAGAGAATATTTTCTATAACATATTTTATTAATGATTTTTCATTTAATTTCAAAGCCATCATTAATGCTGAAAAAATTTTTTAATAACATTTTTTTTATTGAAGAAATTGAAAATTATATATAAATTACAAACCTTTTGCATATTGCATTTCATTTAAAGTTTTTTTCACAGTTTCTGGTGTAATTCCTAATTCCAATTGAAATGGATCAAATGCCAATCCAATGTCTAATGAATATAATAATAATCCTTCCGTCGTTGCCGCAGCCCAAGCTTGACCTGTATAAAAAAAACAAAATTAAAATTAGAATTAGAATTACTTATTCATAATAATTAATTAAAATAAAATAAAAAAAATTTAACCTGTTGGAGAAAATTGTAAACTATATACTCTAACTTCTGGTTTTATATTTCTACTAGCCATATCTCCACTTCTAACACCTGGTAATCGTATTTTTACATTTCCTCCTTCGTATTCATCACGTTCTTCCACTAACGCCAGATTTCCAAATTCTGTTAGATTTCGTCTATTTATAATATCCTATTAAAAAATAAAATTTTATTGAAAAAAATAGTACTATTTTCCATTATAAAAATATTTTAAAAATATTATAAAATTAATATAAAAAGTTACACACATCAACTGCATCTAATGATCTATTTTGTGTTATAATAAATTTTTTTACAAGTATATATTCCTGTACATTATAAATGCATATATTTTTGGATTGTCCTCCAGCTAATATACATGTACCATCAGCTGAATAGCAAAGAACTGAAAAAGCTCTAAAAATTTAATTTTAATTTTTGTTTAAATTACTTTTATATTATTATATATTATATAATATAATATTCTTATAACTTGTATCTATAAAAATACTTACTTGCCCTTAAGACTTTTTTTAGCGGTAATAAGATCAGTATCAGATCTTCCACTGCCTAGATCATTTCTTCCTTCAATACTACCAATTTGTACTGCTGTTTTACAATGAAAAAATGAAATTTGTCCATCTAAAGTAGCAACTGCTACTTCTTCACCATTTGGCTTATATGTAACAATAAACCATCAGCAGTTAACTGTAACGTTTCATGAACAGAACCATTTTCAATCGCATTCCATATTTTTAAAGTTTTGTCCCAAGATACAGATACTAATTCGGTGCTTGCAACACTTGGATTAAATGCCAAACTAGCAACTGGACCTTCATGTCCACTTAATATCTAAAAATAATAAAAAATATTTAAATACAATTTTTAAAAATTTTTAAATTTTGAAATAACAACAAAAAATAATTTGAAAAATTTAAAAATTTGCAAAATTTTGTTTCAATTTCATATTCTCTCTTTCTTATTCAGATTAAAAATTTTTTATATAAAAAAAATGTTATTTAAAATTAAATTCATATAAAAACATCAATATTCAATGTAAAATACCTCTAAAAGTGTACCCAATTTAATACTCCATAAATAAATTTCAAAAAAATCTTGACCTCCAGCTGCAAGAAACTCATCATTTGAATCTAAAGCAATGCAGGAAAATTGTACCGGTCGCGGCGAAGTAAGAGTTCGAAAATTCCTATATCTTGCTAAATCATATGCTCTAACAGTGCCATCAAGAGATGCAGAAACAATAAATTTTCTATTATGACTAAATATCACTCCTGTTATTGTAGATGTATGTTCCTGAAATGTAATAGAACAAAATCCATTCATTGTATTCCATAATTTAACTTTTCCATCATCGCCTCCAGTAACTATGTATTGACCATCAGGACTGTATGCTAAACAATTCATATTGTTACTGTGACCTTGTTGCTTCATAGCATAAGTTTCACTTTGCCACTCCCATACTAATAATTGACCAGCTGTAGAACATCCTAAAGCTATCCAATCACCAGTTGAATTTATGGCAATAGATGTAATACACTGATTTGAAATACTAAAAAATAATAAAAATTAAAAAAATAAGTTATATTAATATTAAAACAATTGATAAATTGAGATATGATTATACCTTAACGAATGTATCATATTTACATCAGGCATTTCATATAAATAAAATGAACCATTACTAAATCCTACGACTAGAATATTTGTTTGCTGATGATATGCAGCTGCAGTAAGTGTTATTTTTTTTTTCTCATGCTTTTGAACTTCATTACTTAAATAATGACGACATAATTTGGTATAACGTAATTGCTTAACTCCTGTTTCATTTTCAGTGTCTTTTACATCCAGTTCAGATGAATTTTCTAAAATATATATTATATTATATATTTCACAATGTTTTTATTACTATCATATATATAATATAAAATTATAAAAAAAATTACGTGATTGCTCTAAGTTATATTCATAAGCTTTCACTTGTTTATCTGTTTTTTCTTTAGCCTTTTCAACATTGATATCATCTTCTTCGTCACTATCTGCTTTCTTGTTTTTCTTAAATGGTGGTGATTCTAATGGCATTAAATCTTCTGGATCAATTGTACATTCCCAAATGCATAGTTGTCCATTTCTTTATAATATATGTATATCATACTATAATAAAATGTTTTTCTAAAAATTAGATTCAAATTACATACCTGCTAATTGTAGTCAAATCATAATTTTTTTTTTCAAAAAAACATGTTACAATTTCATCAGAATGACCACCAAGATTAATATATCTAAAATTTACATATTTTTCTAAACTATAAATTTTAGTAGCCATATCTTTAGAAGCAACAGCTAATAATTTTGAATCATAAGACCAATTAACAAAAGTTGTGTCATCCATAGCTGCATGGAATACACGTTCCATAATAAATGGATTATATTCACCAGTTTGCAAGCCAGGTGCATTAAAAATAAATACTGAAAAAATAATCATTATTTATCTTTCATAATTAATTTAATAAAAAAACTTAATTATATATTAATTATATATAAATAATTATACCATTATTTTCTTTGCACACTGCAAAATGTTTACCATTTGGAGAAAACTTTACACATCTAACACGTCGTTTAAATCTGTATTTGTGTATTACCATTTTACTAATCATACTAATTATATGAGCTTCACCTTCTATAAGAAAATTATTTAAATAAAATTATATTGAAATTTTAAGATTATTTTCTAAATAAAGTATATAAAAATTATACCTTCATTAATTACAATTAATATTGATCCATTAGGCGATAAATCTATGTTTATATAATTATATCGACTTTCTATAGGTAAAGTATTTGATTTATTACTGAAAATATTTATAAAATTATTTTATTTATAATTATATATAATATTATTATTTTATTTATTTTATATTTATATAAAATTGAAATATTATGATATATATAATAATAATATGATAATAATATGATTTAAATGGCATAAAAATTTTTGAATAAATATTATACTTACTTTTTTAAATCATATATTGTTATTCGATTTCCTACGGGACTAATAACTGATGATCCATCTGGAGTAAATATTAAATCTCCTTTACGATAAACTGCACCAAGTAGATTACTAAACTATAAAAAAAAGTTAAAAGTATAGTTATATTTTGTCAATTTTTAATATTATTAATTTAAATATATATTATATAATATATATATTTATATAATATATAATTGTTTTTCATTGGATCATAGATTTTTGTTATTTTGAATTTAAATAAAAATATATAATTTCATTTTAAAAAATTTTTGAAAATTAATACTATATATTATATTAAATATAGTGTTATACATTGTATTAAAAAGTAAACCTAGGTTAGGAATACATTAAATAATTTTAACATTTTTCTATATATTTAAAATATTTATTTGAATAATTATTATTTTATAAATCATAATAAACACATTTTTTTTACCTTATATGCAAATTTCATGATGCTTTAAAATATATAATTTTTTATCAATTCTTTAACAATCACGTTTAATGCCACATTTGAATTAAACATACTATAGTTACAGTCACTGCATATGACTTCCGTTCAATGAATCCAATCATGTATAACAATTAAGGCGTTGGCTCAAAATTTCAAAATTTTTTTATCAAATTTGACAATTCATATAAAATAATATGATAACAAATACAAAATAATTACAATTAAATTATTAATATTGTTTTAGTATACATATTCAAAAGATTATTAATAATATCAATTACAATTCTCATGATATTTTATATAAATTTCATTTTTTATAAATATTTAATAAAAATTTAAATTTAAAAATTTATATATATGAAAAGTTTATTATTATGAAACGAATTAAATTAAAATAATTTATTCAAAATAAAATATATATAACAAATTTCATATACAAATGCAAAATTTATATCCAATTTTTTTATAATTTTATCTATAAAATCATCAAAAGAACATCTATATTTTATATTATAAACATATTAAATCATTACAATTTTATTTAATTAATTTTTTTTAATCGAAAATATAACTGACTATATTTTTGTTTAAATTTAGTCACGTGTTGAAATAAATTTTAGTAAAATAACCTCAAAGTTCATTATAAATTTTTTATATCTTTTTTTAATAAGTTTAAATGATAAATGAGATTTCCAAAGCAATATCCAATATATTTCTAGATGAATTTAAGCAATAGAAATGATTGTAAAACATAAATAAATACAGGAAACGCGTGTCACGCGCTCCAAAGAGCAAAAGCTTGCGCAATAGGCGTGCGCGATGATCGAATAGAGAGACTATAGCGCGACTGACGTCAGATATAAAAGATGAAAGACGGCACAGGATTCGCTTGCAACGCTGTAGTCCGCAGTCGCGAACCAATGGCAAGAGAATAGACATTACCGAGCTTCGGCAGCCTCTTCTTCTCTCACTCGTCACTCGTCACATGACCCGCACTCCTGCACGATAAGCCATATTTGACAGTGGCACTAGTTTAGCGAAGTGAGTGCGTGAAGATCGCTCTTCATCCGACGTTCGCGTTTCGACAACCTGTAAATACTCGTGATCGATTTGACCTACGAGTCTTGAACACATCACAATGTCCGACGAAGATCATCCTATTTATGCGCCCTTCTTTGGAGTAATGGGCGCTGCCTCAGCCATTATATTTTCTGGTGAGTTTCAGTTGTTTAAATTTGGTCTGGACGTTTGATCAAAAAGAGCGCGAATACAAGAATTTACAATTTGTAAAATAAAAGACAATACAATTATCGAAAGAATAACCCTTAAAAATATATTATAACATTGGCAGTTCTATCATACACACGCCATTTTCTTTGCTACAAATGGCATAAAGTATGGAAAAATAAAATAAATGTTGAAGATTAATCAATTTGTGTAATCAATGTCTTAATGAATATTTATATTCATTGATTGTTCATATAAATTGTATTCTATTCTTTATTCATTACCAACTAACTACATTTTAACGATTAATAAGAATAAATACCTATTTTCATGCTCTCGTAAATTTATTTTGGTATGCTTTATTGTTGTCAAATCTGTCACCCGGTGATATATAATACAGTACGCCCAATACAGGTGTGTCCAAATCCGAAGTACTGAAGATATCAAGGATAGAGATTCAATTTTGAAGCGCCATTTTTTTAGGCACACAGATCTAGGATTTCGTAATGTTCCGTAAATGCAGTCCAACCAATTTAATTTTACATTACGAGAGAAACATTCATGCGCCGCGTTTGAGAACTGAGATATTGGCTGTTATTTCGTAATGCTGACCTCGTTGGATAGTTTTTGAATAAAAGTCTGCATGCATTGGTTCATGGGCGCGGGAGGTAGCTAATATAGGATTTACGGAGATCAATGGAAGATTCCACCAGATGCAATTATCGATATTACGTTTATTAATTTCAATTTTAAATTGATTTTTCAATTCTTTTTATGTCCTCTTATGATAGCAAAAGAGAAAGCATGTTCAAGACACGCAAACTTAAACTTTGAAGTATCGTCGGCGAGTCCCTATCAAGGAAATCAATACGAATCCCTTTTCCCGTGTGCGCCAGTCTTGAATGGACGATAACATACAAGAAAAGTTTGATAATTTATGAAGTTCGAAATGCATAAAAAATCTTGATTCATATCCATATAAAACTTAGAAATTAAATATTTCGTGGTTATATTGTCTTTATTTTATATGTATATATATATATATATGTATATATATAAATATGTATATATATATATATATTATATACATATATATGTAATAAATACTTTCTTAACTTATTTAAAACGTAAACTTGATCAAATTATGAAAATTAAAAGAAAAAAAAATTATCTACTTGTGCCACGCCCCCTACTCGCGGAATGGGACTTACATGATTATCATGTGACTGCCAACGTGAGAATCATGTGACTACGATTTTCACTCACGAAGGAATTATTTGTCATGGCATTACCTGAAATTTTATATATTTTTTTCAATTTCAAAATTTTGAGAAATATCTATAAATTGTGATATCAATATCATAGACATTGGCCGTCTGTGACCTTTTAATTAAAGATCAATATTAAACGAAATCGATAGTTCTTGATTTCTAAAGAATAATTTTAATGCAAGATTTGAAATCTTTAATAATTAAATGAGAAATAATTTCAATAATAATAATAATTATCTTAATAATTATAATTTATTGTTGTTTATAATATCAATTATAATTATCAAGATATAAAATGTTTATTTAAATGGAGTTTTATAAAAATTTAATTATAAATTTAAATATAAATATAATATATAATATATAATATAAAACTTTTGTATAATATCTGGATATTATAATTGTTGAATGATATATATAAAAAAATTTATATCATGTATAATTGTAGATCTAATTATGAAATAATTGTTTATGTAATTGATAAATAGAGATAAATGAAATTAATAAAATATTGTTTTATTTTCAGCTTTAGGAGCAGCATACGGCACAGCAAAGTCAGGTACAGGAATTGCAGCCATGTCTGTTATGAGGCCAGAACTTATCATGAAATCAATTATTCCTGTTGTTATGGCTGGTATCATTGCCATTTATGGTCTTGTAGTAGCTGTTCTAATTGCTGGTGGTCTAGAAGAACCTAAAGGATATACTTTATTCAAGTATGTTGTATAATATTACTTATTCATAATTCTTTTAGGATAATTCAAATCAAATCAATAGAAATATAATAATTAGTATGCATACAAAAAAAGTTTAAATTTGCCCTTTATATGTGTAATATTGTACATATATTTGAAGCCTAAATTATTGTTGTATTGATTTTTTATTTATTATTGTTTCTATTGATATTTTATATCCAAAATATAATTTAGGAAAAAGTTATTATATTAATATTTATATTTATATATTTATATTATTATCTATAATTAAAGATTATATTATTATTTTGTAAATATTAAAAATTTAATGATTTTGAATTAACTTTAAACATGATTTAATTTATGATTTAATTATATAAGTATTGTTCATTCTTTACATATTGAGAAAAATTTAGATTTATTTCAGATCATTTCATTAATTATTCTAAAAATCTAGTAATACATGTTTTTAATTAATCAGTTTTAACTTAATTTTAACTTTTTTTGCTTTATCAAATATATATATAATCAACTGTTATTAAATGTATATAATCAACTGTTGTTTTTTTCTTTCCATAATTAACAAACAATTTTTGATCTTTTTACTAGGGGTTTTGTACATCTGGGTGCTGGTTTAGCTGTAGGTTTTTCTGGTTTAGCTGCTGGATTTGCCATTGGTATTGTTGGTGATGCAGGTGTAAGAGGTACCGCACAACAACCTCGCTTGTTTGTCGGTATGATCTTGATTCTAATCTTCGCAGAAGTATTGGGTCTCTATGGTCTCATCGTTGCCATCTACTTGTACACCAAGTAAAACAATTTTAGTAGCAGGAATGCAAGACTCGTCGCCTGCAACCAACAACGTTCCCCGACTCTTAAAATATTACGACTTGTTTCGAGATTTTACTTAAACACATTTTTTCCATGCATACTCACATTGATTCATCTAAGCATCCTTCTGTAATACTGTATTCAAGTTGATATTAGAATCCAAGCATTTAATAAGTACATATTCATTACATAAATGACATAATTGTTGATAAATATTGCAAACAAGTAACAAGAGTGCTGAAAATCTAATTAATTGAGTAAATATTTTGAATTGAAAACAAATAATTCTCTCTCTCAGTCTTGCATGAAGAGGATGTATGTACAGAAAAGCAACAGGCGACAGGGAGTTATACTAAAGAAAGACCTTAAATATCCCATGTCGAACATTTCTCTTTCACTGTATAGTAATCATTTGTAGTGTAGTTTGACATTGAATTATCAATTAAGATAATCGGCTCTACTGAGTGTATAAAAGAAAAAACTGTTAATGATAAAAGAATATTTAGCACAATTATATATATTAAATGAGATTGAAGTGACAGTATACAGATTGCAGATGAACGTCTTTTATGACAAAAAAAAAAATGAAATTGTAATATCTGAATTAGAAAGTGAAAAGAATACGCAAGATTGCGCGTAAAAAACAGCATAATATGTGATGGTTGTACAAACTTTTATCTTAAACTGAAAAAGAACATAGACATTGTACAATCGAAACTATAAGACACAAAGTATAGTATGTGGAATGAAGTTTTAGGGAGAAAAATGAAATGAATGTGAGTAGATAATGGACAGATACATGATAGTATTAAGTCAATTCAGAAGCTGCTGGACGTATCGGGAATTTGCACTTATAGGTAGCAATGTATGTATGATTTACAAAATAATTTTGGGTGACTGCAAAGGCCAGCGGTAATTTCCCTTTTTCAGCTAAACATGCTTATTTCACTTTTCATTAGATATATATGCATAAATATATATGTTAATGAAGTGACAAGTATGTTGATGCAACACAAAAAAATAATTCCATACGTTCCAGCAGATGTATGACTACCTAAGAAAAGGAGTTACGAGATAATAATGGTAAAAAAAAATAATTTGTACATTCCATAATAAGTTTGTTCAGTACAGGCGAGCGGGCGCTTATAATGGCGCAACAAATGTAAATTTTTTGGATAAAAAAAAAAAAAGAAAAAATTAATTACTTTACATTTCTTTCAGGACGAAGTTTTTAAATAAATATAATTATGAAATTATTTAATATAATAAAATTATTTTGGTAAGTTCATTGTCATGGGAGCTGGCAATGAACTTCTCATTCATCATGGCCTTTTAATCGGCCATCTCTCTTTATAATAAATATGTATATCATCTCATAGTCGAGGACAAGAATTCGTTGCGCCCGCTTGTTAAAATTTTATTGACTGCGCAGTATTTTCTATCTAAAACACAATAAAGCTCAACGTGTAGGCGCATTTCCGGGAGAGAATAAACATGTAAACACTTAATGTTTAAAAATGTTTTAGCTTGCAACTATAGTGCATCAAAAAATGAAAAATTCTTTTAAATTTATCTAATCGAAAAAAAAAAAGAAACAAGAAATAGAATGAGTTTATGCTTCAATGTATCTTTTCATCGTTTATAATCCTCGCTTGAAAATGCACCTATATTATATTAAATTACATTATTAAAAAAAGATTTTCCCATCAAATAGTCATTAGAAATTGAATTTTTAACAACGATAATAGAAAGAAATGGAATAAAAACGGCATAATGGAAATAGAAGAAAAATTGAAAATCTTTTGAAAAATTCGTAACTACAACGTATAACACAAGTGAAATACAAATGCGAGCCGGGGAGCGGTGGTGGTGACTTTCCGCAACGAAGGAAAAAACGAAAAAAGAGAGTTACAGAGAGCATAAAAATGATCTTCACTTCACATTCGATAAAATGCAAAACAGCACATGAATATATTATGCCAATTACCTCTGTTCCTCCTTTTTCCTATCTTCCTAGATTCCTATTTCTCTAGTAGCGATAATTTAAAAAAAAAATCTGCTATAATTATAAACTATGCCCGTATAATGTATATATCACCCGCCATGCTTTACAGAATATAATTAAAATTTTTTAGACTAGATTAGGTTAGGTATTATAGGATACCAAAACCTTTTGTAGTTGTGAGTGAACGTAAAATCGATATGCAAATAAGCATGTATGTGTGCGTTATGTGTGTATAGTAAAAAAAGGAAGACCGATGAATGCTAGTACGCGTGAAGAAGAATGAATGAAAAGCAAAAAAATAAAAAAAAAAGAAAAATAAACGAAAAAGCACTGGCAGATGGAGGAAAGATACCGCCGCCGCCGCTGCCCCCAACGTACTATCTTCCAGTGTTATTAAAAAAATAGTCTCATTGTTGAGCGCAAAAAAGTGATACTGATCAATAATAATTATTTATGTTATAATTCGTCCTCGATGTTACAGAAAGAAACCGTGTTTAATAAAAATTTAATTTGGACAAACAGTATCAGTACTCACTTATATCATCGAAAATTTACCTAGCTGTATACATACACTATATTATTAGCGATAAGAACAATTAAACGCATGATGTTGATAATCCATTTTTTTATCACTGCCATTCAATTTAAAGAACCATGCTTTCTATATTGCATCATTGGTACCTATACGTCTCATTGTAACATTTGATGTTTTACGTGTTCGAAAAAAAAAAAAAAATATAAAATGAGATAAAACAAAATTTGTGTAAAAGTAATTGGACAAAAAAGAATCACGAAAAAAAAGAAAATTTTTATTAATTCGCCAAACATTTTCTTTTAACTTTTTAAATAATTGTCAAATACTCAACTTCAATATATTTGTTCGGTACTTGTAAATATATAATTGTTTGCGTAATATGTTTAGTAAACATAGAAAATTAAATTAACATTGAACGAAAATTGTTCTTGAAACCGCATATAAAGGAAAATGCAAATTTATTATGTAACCGAATTTGTTCCATAGATAGAAAATTTTATCTGCGCGTTTAAATATATATGTATATTTACATCCCTTCATATATCATATACCTACACATGCGTATATACATATATCCGTACATATACGCATATACGATGCATAGCCAAAGTAAAATCAGGTCATTCGCGAAAATAAATTGATATCCGAATTACTTTGATTTAAAATAGTACCATTGTTAACCACAATATCAGAGTTTGTTAGAGAATTGTTAAATGAATCGAAAGTAATAGTAAATATTACTTTAACGATTTACCTTTATTAAAGTTTGTGTAAATATCTTTAAAAATATATATCAAGATGGAGTCTGATTTATTTATTTTATATTATATTTCAATGATGGTATAATATTTCAGTTTATTTGATACTAAAAAAATCACAAAATTGAATTATAATGACATAAGAGACCGTTCGCGCGCGTAAAAAAAAATAGATTATTGCACACATTATTTTTTAAATATATCTATATTGTGTTTCAACAAAATATTTTGCATCATGTTATAAAATGCATATGCACGATTTGAAAAATGCTGACACAAATTAGATTTTATATATACTAACGTATACATTTTGTTGTATTTATTTAGCAAATTATTCGTTATTTTTTTACTAAATGTAAACTAGATTATTGACTGCCCCCCAATGCGAGAATGAAATTCGCACAAAAACTAACATGTAGAAAGCATTGAAATCTTTTTATCGATTTCATGACAAAAGTATATTTTAAAAGGATCAGTAAAATAAACAATTGTTAAGGTAAGATCAACAAGTAATGTTTCGAACGTTTCGAGATAACTTTTTATGATACGACAAAAGCATTATATATGTATATTGTTTATATATATAAGACTAATGGCAGTTGATAATATATTACAATAGTTTAATGTAAATGTTATTAGTAAAATAGAAAAAAATGTAGAAAATCGTAGAAAAACAAGGAAAAATATCTTTACGTATTTAGATTTATAGTTATCTATAATTTGTTTATGTATACGCAGTTATGTTTTTAAAACAGGCTCTACATAAACACCAAATAAATACTTTTTATTAGAGCCAAATGTGTAATACTATATTGCATGCAGTAATAATATATACTGAATGCATCTTTTTTTGTAATAGTAAATTTAGTATATTATTATTTATTTTAGTAGAAATTATCTATTTTATTCGATAAATTTCTCAAAATTTCAAAAAACGTCATATATATTTATTATTTGTTTTCATTCATTATATTATATATGTCTAAATGTGCAATATATATATATATAAATAGGAATATTGGTACGAGAAATATTGTTTTTAATTATTTTGAGCGATTTTAATTTACAGATTCAGCAATCTATTTTGTGTACTAAAATATTAACAATTTGATAGTCAAAATTTTAATTTCAATTTAATTATTCCTTTTGTCGTGAAAACTTCATAAAAAAATGTAAATAAAAATAGTAAAAGCAGAGCTATATTCTTCTTTCGTAATCAATTAACATTAAGTGTTCGATTATCGATACACGTAAGTATACTAGTTACGTACTTCAAAGAAATTGATGATACGTATACGTATACGTAAAATTGCAGTTACAAACTTTATTAATTGCAATTATTTTACTATTAGGTTACCATTTTAATTTTTAAACATATATATAAATATCAAATGATTTATATTCGTGAAATATAAGTACTGAAAAAAATACCAAACATTTGTCAAATCATATTTTTTCCAAATTTAAAAATTAAATGTACTCCACTGTCGCATTTATAATTTAAAACACTTTTTTTTCTTCTTTCATTGTCGATTATATAAATGTAGTTCAATGATGAATTTTTAACCGATGAACTATATTATACAAAACTTTTTTTTTATTATATATGTCGTTTAAATAACGTGATCTATTCTTTATGTATGCTACTCGAATTATATATGTATATTCATTTATCAAAACAAAATTTAATACAGTATTACATATCTGAATATTTTTGAAAAAATAAAATATACACAAAAAATCATATCAATTTTGAATTAATCTTCAAAAATGTATACTCCGTTTTTCATATACACGTTAAAATAACGATAATTTTAAACCGATGAGATGAAGAACATAAACGTGATTTCAAAGCGATGTACATATAAATTGAGATTCTTATGCTAATAAATGGATATATGTATATATATATGTATATATATATATGTATATATATATATACATATGCCAAATACATTTATTAAAAATCATCAAGTAAATATAACAAGAAACAACAAAATAATAACAAAGAGTGAATATTCATTACGTTGATTTTTATAAAATTCGAAATAATTTTAAAATCGATAAATGAAATTAAGATTTCCTAAGCAAAAAAATTGTTAAAAAAATTTTAAAAAAACATAATAAGCATTTTTATAATAAGAAACTCAATTTTTTCATAAATTTTTGTTTACCGTGAATGGCGAAAGAGCGATGGACACAAAGTCATAAAGATGATAATCCTAGGAACAAATTTTATTGATAAAGATAAAAGAGATTTCTTATCAGTTTAATGTCTATGATCAATTAAAAACGTTTATAATGTAGTCCATTACGTGAGAAATAATACTGACGATATTATACATGATTCGTATGTTGCATTATTGTTTTTTTTTGTTCATTTTCAATTAATTTATAATATATGAAGAAAAATAAATTAATAAAGTTGAAGTACAATATCGCATGTAACACAATGCTGAAAAATTGAATTGTATCAATCGATATTATTCATTCACTAATTATCATATTTAAATTATTATTATGTAAATATTTTTTTTCATTCATCAAGTTTATAATAAAAAGGCAACAAGCAAAACACATAAGTATACCATAAATACCCATTAAAATATTACACTATCGCTATTAAATATATTCCATGTACACAAAATATTTTCAAATTAATATTAATTCTTCGCAGCGACGATGAAGTCATTATTCTCAAGAATTAAAAATAAAACAAAAAATGAATACACATTCGATACACATGATTCGATGAATTCACTGATTTTTTTTTAAACAAACTCTGGAATATATTTTTGAAAATTTCAGATTGATTAATTTATGAATGATGCGTATCAATGATGTATTCAAAAAAGAATAGATTTAACAATGATCGATTCAACATAAGTATTTGGACTGATCATGCTCTGATTACTGGTACATGAAGCAAAAAGAATGCAAAGTTGAATACTTTAATCTGGTAACAAAAATTAAAAAGCAATGTGGTAATAATAATAATAATAATAGTAATAATAATAATAGTAGTAGTAGTAGTAGTAGTAGTAGTAGTAATAGTAGTAGTAGTAGTAGTAGTAGTAGTAGTAGTAATAATAATAATAATAATAATAGTAATAGTAATAATAATAATAATCGTAATAATAATAATATTAATAATAATAATAATAATTTTAATATATACATTGTTCTGAAACATTATTCATAAATGAAAGAAATATATATATATATATATATATGTATATATATATATCCAAATTCTTATGTTCAATTAATCGGTATATAATAATCATTACGTACAAGAAGAAGTTTAAAAAGATTAATTCAATTAAAATTGCTACTAATTGGAAATGAAGAATATGTAAGAAAAATCCATGGATTTGTTTCTAAATCAATAATGTCTGCTTTCTTCTTTCACCGATCACGAAAAACTGCGATATTGCACTAACTTTCTTTTAGGCGAACTTATGGCATCGTGTCGGTCTAAAGGTTACGCACTAATTAAAAAAAGATTGTATGTCGATGCATAGAACTCTATTAGGAAAGACTACAGGCAGGAAATGAAGGTAAGGTGGCTGTTGGTTCATCGACAGAACAACCAGGGGGCCATCTGTAATAAATTACACCAAGGTATGTTTATTTTTATAATACGATTTAGTCATGTCACTAATTTTTTTTTTTAATGTTACGTTAAAGTGAATTGTGATGTTGGCTGCTGGTTGTTATTGAATAGTTAGAGTAGAATTAAATGGAGCAGCAAATAGAGGTACATGGGCAAAAATGGTTTGGTTGATTGGTGTGTATAAATATGACTCAGTTTTGCTTTTCAAGATCTACAAATTCATTTGTTTGATTTTTTTTTTAATTTTAGAGAGAATTAATTAATCGCGCTTCATATATTACTGAGTCAGTTTCCTGTTCCTAATGGATATTTTCTTTGTTTCTTTAGGAAAAGTAGATGTATTTCGACTGTTGTGATGAATTATATAATAGTAATAATAATAATTAATAATAGATAATAAT